AAACTGCTGTAGGTTTCTCCCTGAGCACTGGCATTTTCAAAATTAGATTATTTCCACAAGGGTGGCATCACACTGATTGTTCATGTGCCATGTGTGATATTTCAGCCACCACTGATTGGATTTTGATGAAACTTGGGGTTAGCAGATCAGATCCCTGACAATGTGGCACTTTTGGAGATTTTCAAAGTTACAGTGATTCAACGCCATGTGGGGGGACTGACAATGGGACCAGAATAAAGCAAAGGAACATATTTTTGTTTTGAAAATTGTGTAAAGCGATGTTGGTTAGAACAATGGTCTTGCAATTCTAGATTTGATGTCCTCCTCCGGTGTCATCCGGTCAGTACTTGGTCGACAGGGAGAATGCATCATTTTTAATACTTGTGATCTTGGTTTCTATTTTAGTGAGAATGTTCCAAAATTGTAAGAGTAAGTAAGCAAGAGCAGGGCAAGGCTCAGACTTTAAGCTGATGTCATCATCCAACATCCCATAGCTATCAGTCTGACCTTGAGGTGTTTTCAGGCTCCTCATAATGAATCATGAAAGATATCAAGTGTCTTATGGTTTAATGGGGATAGAGACCTATAACTGTATGCACTTGGTCAAGACCTATAAATCATCCGCAGTGCCCACGGTAAAGTCTCCTATCATCTTAATGAGACACCACCCTCTATTCCTATGATCATAGCATCTCCCATTGTTTCAGGTTTCCAGACTCTGTCTCCATAGCAGATCATCCTTAGTGGAAATGTGATCTCTTTAAAACGTATTATCACTAAGGAGGATTATTAATGAGAATAAAACAACAACCAGTTACAAGCTTTGAGTACAAGTTCCACAGAGAATATCTTATGCTAATCCTGCATATCAAGACATCAATAAAATTGTGTTATTTTACTGGTATTTAACTTTTGTTTGCAGTTGGATTAAAAATTAACTTCTTAAATCAGATAAAGATAATACCTTTTTTCATTTACAATCATAAAACAGACACAAAACGCCTCTTTAGGCTTCCGTTTCATCTGTGCCAGAGAGTGAGAAAAAAAATCAAACAGATCAGAGAGGATTGGTCACCAACACAGAGGCTTGCTGGTAAATCTGTACACAAGTACAGGCCCCTTGACCTCCTCCTAGTCTTCGCTGCCAGCCCACACACTGAACTGCTCCTACAACTGTATTCTGTAAATCTACCACCACTGGTGCTTCTAAACCTCACCACAGCCAGTCCAGTCTACAAACTTGACTCTTCTCATCCCCTTTGCCCTTGTTTTTCCCTTGGCTTGTCCAGAGGCTGCAGCTCAGACCAGTGAATCCTCTTCGGCTCACATCCATCCTCATTTAGGCCACGGGGACCCATTTAGGATGAGCAACGGGCTGGAAAACACAGTGACCTTCTCATATTTGACTCATTTACTGCTGTTTTTATTTCAGCCACTAAAAACTGGCGCCATGTTTTTATTTCTAGCTAAAGTTACAGAGTTGGAGAGGAGTGGCCACTTTTTCTCCTCCAGCAATAATCCACACCTTGAAGGGCACAGAGATGTTATCCTTTCATCCAAATGGATGGTGGGGAGGGGGGCTAAAGCACCTTAAGGATGCAGAGATAATCTCAAATTGAGATTTTATGAGTGAAGAATCTATGAATTCAGACTGAGAATGTACTATTGGCATGAGGCTTTATTATCTACCGTGCCCTCAGCATTTTCATAACCACAATTTTAATGAGGTTAACCTCTTTAAAAACACTGGATAAGGGGATAACCACTTTTTTCTTCCTTGCCTGTCTGTGTTTCTACCAGTATGCTCCCTTTCCTTTCCCATTTCCTCTGTTTCTCACAGGGGGAGAAGAGGTTTTTCATATCCACTCGCTCCCTCTCTCATCTCCCATGTCTCCAGGTTCTCGGGCTCTCCCTCCCAATCAGACTGCTTGAGTCGTGTTCAAGGCTTCCCTCTTTCTCTCTGCACTCGCCACAAAGACAGTCTAACAAAGGCCTAAGGCAGACAAAGAGAGAACGAGAGACAGTAAAGGAAGAAGGGTGGTGGTGGTGGTTAGAAGGGTGGTGATGGCGGTGGTGGGGCAGGCGGTGCAGAGCAGGATAGAAACAGTGAGATAGTAAAGGAGATGGATGAAGAAAGTGGGAGAGACAGAGAGAGCGAGGGGCAGATTGAGACAGTAAGAAAGGCAAGCAACACTAAATTAGATGCTCTTGGAGAAGAGACAGTGAATTAATTCCAAAGAGAATATTGCATTGTATCTTCTTTTCCCTTCTTCTCTTAGCAATGGGACATAGAGCTGAGTTATGTGTTCCCCCAGCAGGCTCCTCCATTTCTCTCCTCTCGCTTCTGTTAGTCCCAGGCCGTTGATACCACTGGCATCAGCCCATGCTTTCCCTCTCTTTGTCATTCTGCTGCATTATTATACTTTTTCTGCAGCAAACAGGCTGAGTGCTAACATTACAAATGCACCGAAAATTAGGTTTTGATTGAGCTATGATTGTGATGTTCAAAATAAAACTACTTTGAGCATTTGGGAATGTTGTCATTGCAAATTAGACAAATTGCACAACTGCTATAATAGCACAGGGTATTTCATCTCTAAATAATAAAAAAGAACAGAAACAGCTGTCAAGATATTGCATTCACATCCAAAGTATATCAATTTGTTGTACTTTCACAATGTCATCCACTGATTTTCTTTTTTAGTTTTCTAGGGTGAATGAACCATGATGCATTGCATCACAAGGAACATTTTCCATAGCTCGCCCCCACTGTGTGACCATAATAACGATGATCTGCTACTGTGCACCCCATCCCATCTGTTTCCACTACGTTTAGGTCCAAAGCAGCAATCTGGTGGTTGTCTGAAACACTGGCCTGAGCCTCCACATTCAGAACCCCGCATTTCTTATTTAAACTACGATTGGAGAATTATAATATCGGGCAGCTGTGTTTGCTGAGTAGTCAGCTATGCTCCGCTGACGTTCCACTCTACGGCGTTTTTGTCAGTTTGTGCTGAATGCATAATAGAGTGATATATCAGGTTCTACTGAATGAATGACATGAGCTTTTAAACTAGTCTTAACTTTCCTTCTTATAGATTATTCTCATTGTTTAATTATTAGGAATTTAGCCTTTAAGTACTGTTCAGATCTATATGTTGTGATATAACATCTACTGATCTGACTTAATGAGTAGTGTGCAAGTTATCATATACATACATCTGCATCAATGGCAGTCATTCATTCTTTCTTTAGTCTTTAATTCTGTACAGTATCAGTCTGTCACTGAAAATAACTTAATTTCAGACAGGCATCACTGCAACAGCTGAAGAAAGCAATAATCATCAAATTTAGGATGCAAAAACAAACGTTTCAAACAATCAGATATTCTTTGTCTAGCTCAGCAAGGCTCCTTTTAACTTAACTCCACAGATTCCTAGAATCAAGAAGACTTAGCAGGGTGTTATTTTAACCGACTACATTTTTTCTGTTGGGCTTAATGCAGCTTTCAATTACAGACGGCTTCATTTATCCAGATTTTCAGGATTCCATTTTGATTATAGTTTGCTTAAAGGTATCCAGCCTTGAGTCTTGACACATTCAGATTTTGTTTGTGTTATATAACTGCTGAGCTCAAGGATAGACTTTTACCTGCAAGTTTAAGACTTAACAGTTTTTATTCTTACATTGAGCAAATATTTTCTTCACTGGCTGAGGCTTGGGACTGAAGAACAATTTGTAGAGAAGGCACTCAACCCTTTACTGAGGACTTAACTTCAATACCTG